AGACCGGGGCTGCTCTGAGGTGGGCAAACTCCCCGGATACTGCAGAAAAACAATCAGAGAGACTCCGTTATGTTTTTCTGTGAGGGGTAGCAAAATCTTTGCTGCCATGCAAGGTTTCTGGACGGGTGTTTTCCAGCCACGGGGATGGCAGAGAGGGCTGAGGCTCAGCTGGCAGGTGGCCACGAGCTGGAAATGAGGAGAGGAAAAATAAAGGCTGTCAAAATAACGAAGCAATCTGGAGGTGCTGAAAATCCCACTGGTCTGAGCAGGGCAGGGAGGCAACCGAAGTGAAGGGGAGATACTGCAGGGGCGAGGTGGTGCTTGACTCCCACCGATTTACCAGCACGAGGCCTCCGAGGCTGTGCCAGGGGCTTATTGCAGGAGAAATCCTTTGTCCAGCGGCAGAAACCCAGGGCTCAGTGCTGGTGACTGCTGAGCGGTCACTGCTGGGCTGTCAGAGCGGAGGAGGAAGGACAGCGGTGCCAAGGAGCGGCTCGGCTACGCACAGAGCGAGGGGACAACGCGTGGAGCCCTCCTGGTCGTGTCATCCGGGTGGGATCGTTACCGGGCGCTGGAGGTTTGGCCAGGGCAGCTGGGTGGGGATGGGTCTGCACGCTGGGGGGACGATGCGCGAGCAGCCCCATAAGGGCAGCGCGACGGGAACCCAGCGCCAGGGTGTGGAGATGAAAAAGCAACAGAGGAAACCTAACGGGAGGGTCAAACGTGACATCTCCTCCGCTCGGAAAACCCAGGTGCTGGAGCAGGATCTGAAAGTCGCTGGTGCTGGACGAGCTCTCACCTCAGCAGGAGAAGTGACCTGCCTTGATGTGGCCGAGCCCGAGGGCTTGTTTTTCCACTCATCTTTATCTCCATCCTCGCCCTCTAGAAGATCTTTCTGCCCTTAAGATGCAATGGAGTGGACTTGGAAAGCACCAGCACCTCCAAAAGCTGCTCTCCGCTGTGAACAAGCTTTCCTCTCACCCTCGAATCCTCCCCTCACAGCAAAGAGGGGAGCTGCGCTTCGGGGAGAAAAGCCGCTGGCGGCACAAACACCCTCTCGGACGCCGGTTGGGAAACATCTTGCTCTTTCATTTTTTTTCGACACAACCAGCACTTGGTCCTGGAGGGCTCAGCAAACACCCTTCCAGGCTCCTCAGGTGCCGGTCCCTGCGCTTGATGCTCAAATGGTCAAAGCAAAACTCTCCACGTATGTAAAACCTTTCCACGTCGCTGCTTTGGAAACGCATCCTCAATGCCCAGGCGCGATGTTCTGGCGCAGCCAGAGAAACCCGTGGGCCAGGGGCTGCAGAGTGCTTGGGAGCACAGCTAATGGAGGTGATCCTCCAGCCTCGCGAGGTGTTAATGAAGGTAATGGGCACGGACTGACTGTGCAGAGAGAGGCTGAGAGCTGCCTTGGAAAGGCGACCGGAGCAGAACGTGAAATTAGTGGAAAATGAGTGGGAAGGGGGAAAAAATAAACCCAGTGAGAGCGAGGCAGGAGTGCGGAGCCCAGGAGGGCCAGGGTGGGGAAGCTGCACACGAGGCGTCAGCGCCACAGGAGGAAGGAAACGGAGCAGGAGGAATAAACCATCAAAACATGGTGTTAACTCCCCCCAACCCACAGGACAGTGATGAAAAGCTGATGCTGGGCAGGATCAATGCACTCCCACAACGAGCTTGCTTTCCCGTGCAAATTCAGGGGCACTTTGCCACCAGCAAATGCTCCCCATGTCCTGCCCTGCACACCCACTCTGCACCCATCGGGGTCTGCGCTGTCTGAGCTGGGCTGTCCCTTCTTCAGCCCCAGCATCTCCGCCCCACACAGGGTTTCACCACCCTCTCGCCTTCCAAGGTGCCTCTAGGTTTCAAACCCCGCCCGTCAAAGAGATTTGTTAGAACAAGCGTGTAATTCAGCAAAACTGCTCCGCAGAGATAACCAAGGATCCCGCAGGGGCCACGCATCGGCGTCTTCAAAGAGGCGACCAAATTATGGGGGGGGGGTAGAGAGACAAGTTGGGCTCGATTTCTAGAAAGCACCTGATTCCGTGTCATGTGTTAGGCAGCCACCCAAAGCTGGAGCACATGGTGGTGCATGAGGAGAGGAGCCAATTAAATTGATTAAAAATTGGCCCAAGCGCAAGAACAGGAGCGAAGCTGTTTTGGCTACAGGCGGAGAGCGTCAGCACATCCACGCAGCCTTATAAGGAATTTTTTTTCCCCCATCCTGACCATAAGTAACCTCAGAAAGGGCCCTCCTTGGCAAGCCCCGAAGCTGAAAGGGTTAATTTGATATTCAGTTTGGTCTCCAGCAGCAACAGTGGGTGGCTCGATGTGCGGTTAACCCGCGGTTGAGGGGCCGGGGTGGCATTGAGCCCCATGTGCCCACGTGCTGCCCCTGCAGAACGTCCCCCTGCGAGCACGGCGGCTCGCAGC